AGAATTCGGCTTTAGATGGAGACTTCAAAATGAGACGAAGCTCAAATCTATTTTACATTTTTTTTAGTGGAACTTTAACTTTTCAAGTATTTACTTGATAACTTTTCAAGTATTAGTAGTTTATAGCTTTTTTCATAGCGAATTCAATAATTACATACTTAAAGTGATTAGAAGGTGATCGGAAGAATGACGAAACAGGAAGATTCAGCAAAGAAAGAATATAATTTAATAAAGGAGAAAGTAGAAAAGGAATTTTATTAATAAATTTTCGCAAACGAGAAAGAATATATTAGAAGAAAAAAGGAATTTTTACATGGTAAAAGAATCGGAGTCGATCAAATTCTTTTTCTCTTTAAAAAGGAAAATCCCGTGAATATAAGTATTCAAAATGTTGTTCTCTTGTACCTATGCGAGCCTGCCTTCGTTGAAAATCATCAGGCACTTTTTGTATAATTTGCCTCTGGAAATTATTCGGCACGCTTCGCGTTATTATCGGCATTATATCGGCATTACTCGTCGCATCGCATTTTCCTTGGTAATTGGAGGCTTAACCTAAGCCATGCAGAAAGCGAAATGTTCTTTGCTAGAGACAATATTATGGAGCGATGAAGCTACGTTTCGTAGCAATGATCATGTGAGTCGTCATAATCTTCGTTATTGGAGCGACTAAAATCCTAAACCTAAATGATCGCTTCGCTTGAAACGAATCGATCATCAATATGTATGGTCGTTGAATGTGTTGTACGTGATGTATTATTATTGGTGTTACAATTCTTGGCTCATTTTTCTTCGGTGGTATCGTGAATGAATTTTTTTCAATTTCTTGGTTGAGAAACTATTTTTTCTTCCGGGAGATTAAACCTTTGGCAAAACCTGTGGATGCAAATCAACTTTTCTTTGGCTTTCCACTTTAATTCGGCCGTGAGATAACACATGCATGCCATTTTTCCCGACTAGATGATTGTGTTTGGGGTAAAGTCCAGGAAATTATTTATGTCTTTCCAGATGCGAATTATAAAGAATGGTTTTCAACGAAGATTGCAAAGTTATATAAGTGCAAAAACATTTTGATTAATGCCATTTAGATTAATTGGATTAACGGCTTAATAGATTTTAGATTCATGGAATTTAGATTAATAAGATTTTTCCCTCTAAAGAGATAAAAATTTGGTTGACTTCAAATTCTAAAAATTCCTTTTATTTTCTGAAATCTTTCTTGTTTAAGGATTTATTAATAAAGAGTTTCTTTTTTCTTTTATCAAATTATATTTCTTCTTTTTCAAGTCGCATTTCGTTGCGAGAAGGACTATAAATGTAGATATTAGAAAGATTAGAGTTTTACTTAAGAAAGTAAATTTGTCTTTCTCACCTTGACGCTTTCATCCAAATTCTTTTCGTTAAAATGTATTGCCCCTGTCGAAATAAAATAATCTAAAAATATCGGATCTCGATATTTCATTCAGCTTTTGAAATATTCGGCCTGTTTGAAATTTAACCCTCTATATAATTACATGACTACGATAATGCTGCGGTAGCTTGTAGTGAGCCATGATACCAATTAATCCCAGCCAACGGCACACGACAACGAACCCCGTCCATGACTTCGCACACTCGACAGCCGGCTTTGTATTTCATACGGTAGCATGGTACAGGCAGTAATAATTTTACGATTCGTACTTGCCGATGGCCGATTTACCACTGTGCGATTTGAATTCCTCTCGGACACGCGCCCAACACGCGACGCGGAACGTCGCGCCTCGCTACGCTTCGTCTCGCCTCATCTTTCGGTCGTGTTTGTTCCGTAAATTAACTCGATCGCCGTGAATCTCTGGTAATTAACGCCCGATAATAGAGCCGCTCTTCTGTTCGGTCATAGCCTGTTGAAAATATAGAGCGCTGTTGGGCGAATCTATATCGCGTGTTTGTGTGTGTGTTTACTTATTCTCGTACAGTTATACACAAGTTGTGCATATTCGAAGGAATGTAGAAATTTTTCTCTGTTTTTTTCAATTTTCTTTTATAAATTTGAGGTTTCCAGGGATTGTCGCTATGAGAGAAATATTAGATTGTATCTGAGAAATTCGTTTGCTGAAAATGAGTTTCAACACATATCTGTATGAGCGTCTTTTTGTTGCGTAAGCTGTCAAAATGATTGAAAGTACGTGACATCTATATATCGTCTGACAAATGGCATTTCAACGCATTATTTAATAAATGTTTGGTCGAGATCGATTGAGTTTTTGTGCTCTAGGACTGAGTTGTGACGATGAAGAGAATAAAAAAGTGCATTTTTGGCATGTAATATTTTTCTATTAAAGGAAGAAATATTGTGTAAACAAAAGAAAAAATTTGTAGAGTGTATAGAGACAATGCCTATTGCTTTACACCAACCGTTCGAAAATGATCTATTTTAAAATTTTTATTTTCTATTACCTATTTTTTGCTTATCTATTTTTAATTTTTTTCTTTCATTTAAATATTTATTTTCTAAATTTAAGGCGGCTAATATTTTAATTTTGATGCGAAGCGTTCCGAATATACGATGACCAAATCAAGCTAATTGAAAATAACCCATGACACACGACTCATTCCAAGAAATCCGCACGAACAATCTTTTGACGTAGAAGACCTCAGCCGAATATCGCTAGAATGGTTCGTGTCACTCGCTCCAATGGGAGAAAAAACACAGGATATCACAATAAATAATACATTATAGGCGAGGCGTGTGACACAAAGTGGAGACAGACGGATGGCGGGACGCCTCATAGCCAGTCCGCCCGTGGCTGACCAGTTCCACTTTAAGCGACGCATACGTGCGCGCAGAAACGTGCCGTCGTAGAAACGCGGAAGTGCGCGAATTGCGCGTCTGTAGGTTTCTGTAGGTTAGGCTCGCAGAATACCGTCTTGAGATATACGTCAGCGCTCTCCCAATCTGGGTCAGCGCGTGGCCTTTCCTCCCCCTCCCCACCCACGTGTGTTTAAGCTTCATAGTAATTCCATTCATTCGTGGCTCATTCAATCATATTAAAGTTACGAGATATAAGGCTCCGCGTATCCGCGCGAGCGACCGTGACGCGTAAACAAAGAGAGATTTACCGAGCGGATTGTAGCGAGGTGTGTATACCTCCCTATGGAAAGTTTATATAATACCATTACAGCGTATTTTACATAATACCGACTTTTTGGAGCAGCACAATGCTCTGCCGTGTTTACGCTGTTTATGGGGGTACTAAGGCAGTTTATGGTTGCGTGAGCATGCGGCGTGGACTTCGTCCGATTATTCGTCCGAAAACTTCACAGCTCTCTATATTGAGAATATCGCCCGATGAATTCTTTTTACTCGAGTTACTTTTCCTTAGACATAAAAATTGCATGCCCGATATGTTGCATTAGAACGTAAAGTAATCGGCAAAAGGAGAAACGAATAAAGAGAATCGAGTAACTATATCCTTTCAATTTAAATACGTTTCTGTCGATTGTACGAGATATAGAGAATACTTAATCTCAGAAATAAAGTATTTCTTTCTTTGAATTCTTAACAATACTCGTTAGACAATGCAAGTCTTGTCACTAGAATATTACGTATAAATAATATTAGAGCTCTCAGACATTCGATTATTGAGAAATAATTTTTGAAAAATAGAAGAATGAACAATGGGCTCTTCGATGTATGATCGAGAGATGAAACAAGTTTTTAAAGGCTAACACAACATCGTAGTTGCGGAAAAATGTTTAGTATAATATTATTCTAGCGAATATAAAATTAAATGTTTCGATATTCCGAACCTTCCTTATCAGTCAAAATAATTATTCAAAATCATTTTTCGTCATTAAGGGGCGAATTACATGCGGAAGACCGTTTCCAAGGATATTTTTAAAAATTTTTTTAACAGAAACGGTAAAATCAATGGACTTGAAATTTTCACAGTGTATTCATTAATGTTCGAAGTATAAAATAAATTTTATTGAATCACAAGAACCGATCCAATTTGTAATTATAGATAAAAATGCCGTCATCCGTTTACGAGCTCTATGTTTGCTGTCGACATAATTCCGGGTCTCTCACCATTCTGAAACCAAAAAATGAGAAAGATTTTTAACGGTTGCCATTATAGCCCGTATCCAAATGAATGAAGGCAGCGAAGCCAAGTTTGGAAAAATAATGACTGTACAAAAAAAAGTATCGAAAATGAAACTTTTTCCAACTTGTAATCATGTTTAAAAAAGATGAATAAAATAAAATATAACTATGTTCGAGGTAGTGACGAAAACTACGTATCTACTATATATTATGTAAAAATTTTAAGTTATTCGGTTCTGTAGTTTTTGCGTAATCGTGTCAATAGTTTAAGAAAATGGTGTCTCCAGATAAACGCGTTTAAAGTTTTGTGTGTACTTTTCATATGGATAGTAAGAAATTTATTTTATACATTGAATATTAATGAATACACTGTGAAAATTTCAAGTCCTTCATTGATCCTACTGTTTCTGTTTAAAAAATTCGTAAAAATAGCCTTGAAAACGGTCTGCTCCGCAGACATAATTCCTCCTTTAAGGGCCGTTCAAAGATGTTGGCAGCGAATAATAATTCCCTACAGGAGGATAATAACGTCGACGAAATGAAGCACATACCAATCAGCTTGTCGTTAAGACATGAACGATGATGAAAGATGGCAAGAATGGCCCACGGATGTGTTGAAAACTGAAAATATGTTTCGACATATGTTGTTCTTATTCTACCGCAAGAAATTGTTATTTGCAACTTTCGCGCGGCTGTTAATGTTCAAGAATAACGTTTCGATAATTCTAATCCAACAAGTGTCCTAAAGATGTCTTAGAAACCGTCCTACTAATTCTTCAGAAACGTCTTTCTGACGTGTCCAAGTCGAATCTTAGACATTTGAGCTGTCCGGGCTATCTTGATCACAGCGCTTGAATTTTTAATATACAACAAACGCGACGGGGGGAGCTTTCAGACAAATGGACTTTACATGTTCCAGAAAATGGACGGCAACAGGGACGGCGTGGTGACGCTGTCCGAGTTTCTGGAGGCTTGTCGTGCAGATCCGGACATCTCGACCAGCATGGCAGCCCTGGACACTGCCTTCTGACACTCATCGCGCCCGCTGTACACACCGTGGACCTGAAGGGATCACTCGATTAGAAAAAAGAAACAAATACAAAATCGCTCAATGTTGTACCTTAACTCCCTGGACCAGAGGAGGGAAACTCCTCAAGGTGCGTCCCGTTGTCCTGAAACGGTCGATACGCGATTTCTCAGAGTCGATTGCTTCGAGAGACGACACCGCGTCGCTTTGCGCGTATTAGCTCAACAAAACGTACTCAGTGGAATTTCTAGACTCGCGAGGAAAAGGAGGAAGCTTTTTAGGAAGAGGAGCGGGAGGAGAAGGAGAGAGAACAAACGGGATAATATTGAGCTTGAGATTTTTGCGACTACCGTAGGTATAGTAAAGGGGGAAACGGAAACGACTGTTTTGCGACAGCGATGAAGATTTATTTCAACGGATATTGAATCAGTTCGTATTAATTCACAGGCGGGGCGATTGATCGTTTGCACGATCTCGCAGGTATCAGTATTCACGTAGGAGGAGGCAAACAGAGAAGCGGATCGTGAGAAAGAAATAACAAACATATTGCAACGATGATAAAGTAATTTTGGTATTTCGTTTATGTCTGAGGAGCCGGCACTTATCGACAGTTGATCGGATCGATGTGAATACAATCGCCAGCTTTTCCGATCGCTTTACGATTGCCGAGAATTCTCCCGCTGCGTTTCAATATTTCTTAACGTGTCTTTGAACGTACACTCCAGAAAAAACGCAGTAAAGAAATAATTGACGGCAATATTACATCATTGATATCATTCCCCGTTCAATAATTTTGTGGTCGGCAAGCATTTTGTCTCGGATCTTTTTTTTTACATATAATATCCCAAATCGTTGTCATGGATTGCATTTTCAAACGTTTCATATCTAACATTCTTTCAAGAAATTTCAGGCGCTCTCCAGCTTTCCGAAGTAAGACTTCATATGCAAATTTCTGTCTGTATTAACAGACCATGTATTCTTGCTAATGAGTATTCGTCTAGGTTGGATCTTTTTAGTGGAAAACCTTTGTTCTTCAAGCGCTCACTCTCATTTCAACTTTTTCTTTTTGAGTTTGTCCCTGTACTCTTTATCTATCTGTTTATTTAATTTATTTACCTCATTTGTAATTCCAAGTTTTCCTAACTTTATTTATTTACTCATTTATTCGTCCGTTATTAGTTATGTACTTTACTATTTCGTATATTTGTGTTTTTATTTTATCCTCGCGATACTTTGATATTGTATAATTAAAGGCTTCCTCCCGTTAATAAATTGATTTGATTTGAAATGGATATAATTACAATATTACACGTGTTGTGCATAATAGTCATATTGTTGAGTAAGAAATTATGACACACACTGATGCAACTGTTATTCGAGAGATATTTACTTTCTTTTCGCGATATTCAATATGAGCGTTTTTATCAGCTCTGTATATTGCAAAAACTTTGCAAGAGCATATCTATTTGATCGCGTATCTCTACGCATAATTAATTAAATAGTTCGACGTGATATTGTCAAAAAAAGAGCTGCTTCCCGAACTAAACGTCCGAATATACTGAAATGCACCAAACGGCTGTCTCGGTCCCGGCAACCGCAGGTTGATCGCCGAAATAATTGACGATTATCGGAAAAGTTGACAATCATACTCATATCGATTTGCGCTCGGCTTTCGGTGAGCGTCGATTTTTCGCGCTATCGAAAAGAAAACATGTGCGCGGTGTCTCGATATTCATAGGCTCGGTTGAAACTTTTCGTTATCAAATCATTGGGCGCTACTTGAATGTTTCCTTTTTCTTTTCCGATACATCCTAAGAGAGAAGAAGGAGACACTCCAAGAGAACCGATTGTTCATCGGCTGCGTCTCAGTAGATGCTTTGCGGACGTGAGGGCGGAGGCGCAGTTAACGATTCGGTCGCGTTTTCAGAGGCGAACGCAGAATACATCCCCGTATGAATAGTCATAGTACACGTACAATTTGTTACGGCAGCGTGCAAGTGCGCGCACGTATTGAACTTGCGACATATTGGACCTGCACGGGGCAAGGGTTAAAACGTGAGGACGAGCGTCAACTTACGGACGAGACATACAAAGTTTATCGTGAATCCCGTCGCACATAGCTGGACGTGTCAAGCGGGATTTGTTGTTTGTAGTGCGTAAGCGTGTAGGTGGTAAGCGATATCAAAATATTTATTTTTGTGACGGGTAAGCGTATTATCGTTGTAAGATTCTAGATTGTAAAGACTGCGTGCTGCTAAAGACAGAGAGAGAGAGAGAGAGAGAGAGAGAGAGAGAGAGAGAGAAAGGGAGGGAGAGAATGTGTGAGAGAGAGAGAGAGAGAGAGAGAGAGAGAGAGAGAGAGAGAGAGAGAGAGAGAGAGAGAGAGATATAATCGAGTTGGATCGAAACGGAGGGGTGAATAATAAGAGGCGAGAGAAATATCCGGGGAGGAGCTTCTTCTCTCTGCCGAGATCCGACATTCGAGAGCGATCTGTTGCCGAGTATAACGTGTAAACACACGCGAAAAGTGTATGTTTTATTGTAAAATCATCCAACGACTCGTGGAGACTGGACCAAAGCTTCCGCGATAGGCGAAGAAGATTTACTTGAGCGAAATATATATTTAATCATTTTCCATCACTGCCTACTTCCGGTTAACTATAAATAAGGAGGAATATAGGGAGCGAGATATCGCGGTCGAGTCCGATCGACGTTAGATCTGGGGGAAGCTACCGCGGCGCGAGGGTTCGTTTATTTAGATACGAATTTCAAGGTATCCTTCCGTTTCACGTGCATTCCCTGCGTAACATACACTCGGGATGTAGCGGGTTCGCGCGAGCTAATATTCGAATATTCCTCCGAACTTAGAGGGTAATACGGTTACGCCGGCTAACTTATTTCAAGAGCGGGCCTGACAAACGGCAACTCCAATCCAGACACGCGATACGCGCGTCTGGTCTTGTCGATACGTCGAACGTATTGGGGAGATAGTAGAAGAGCAAGAAGAGGGCGATATAATAAAAGTCAGTGGAGCGGAAAGGGAACAGCGGAGGGGGCTAGATCGCGCACGATGTGTGTATATGTGTGTGCATGTGTGTGATTAAGGCGAAGAGGCGTAAGGATTTCTTCGACTTTTAGCAGCGCCTACACTTAGAGCGTAAGACTTACGTGTAAATTGAGATAAACATCGAATGTTGTCTCATATCAACTCGATCACTACCGCATGTCTTTGAAGTTACGTAAGTAAATGTATAAAAAGGAAAGGGAGACAAGAAAAGACAAAAGAAAACGGGGTAACTGTGTCGTCTAGATATTTTCGAGAACTCGACCCAGCATAATTAGTTCTAGGTGTGACAAGGGAAACAAGCAAGACAGTATACTCTTACCCTTTCCCCCCACCCCCCCATCCATCGTGACGTTAATCGAATTAATAAGCTAGGTCTGATACGTTGTCAGCTTTTTTATGCGCCGCGTCATTAGTTTTAGATTAAAGTTATCATTTGTTAATGCGGAAGGACTAGGACTAGAACGTTGAAAGGATAATGAGGGAGTCACACGGGATGTTCGGAGAGTTCGCAAGGTGTAAAGAGAGAGAGCACGCGAGACAACGACCGATGAGCATTCCGTTATGCCTTAACACGCCGCCATGTGCTGAAAAAACTCCATGTCCTCATTATCTTACTATTAACTATACCCTCTTAACTGTGCCCGCATACACGTTACTGTTGCATGCTCTCCTACGCTCTCCTAAAAAAAGGGGAAATAAAGAGAAAAAAATATACAACTCCGTGCTCACCTTTACAACCTCGCGCACTTCTCGTGACTGTCGCGTTGAAATCGTTTTTCATGGTCTCTCTGTTTCTGCGCGCTTCAACGCCGAGCTGCATGTTACATTCTTTCGTGAACATCGATTTAGCTAGGGAAGATTTCGTATTCAATCTCGGTAACATAAGTTCGATCGAAGTGTTTGTATCGAAGCGACGTAGCGAGGACTCGATTCAACTTTCCTCTCAATTTCGTCACGCGCGTCAACGATGAACAGAATCGCCTCACGATTTAAAATAAGTTTCAAGATGCTTCACATACTCTTACGTGATACACGAGAGATCATCGATTCTTCCTTGTATCAGATTGGTGCGAAAGATTCGTCATTTTCCTGTATTTAGTTTCTCGCGGGAAGTTTGGGCACTATGAAGAAAATAGAAACTCACGTAAATAATTAAGGTCTCTAAGATTACAAAGCAAAATACACAAATATATATGAAGGCGACAAGAGGTGCAAACGTGCAGGTGTTAGTTTTGCGAACATGAACTGAATTATTAATGTTCACATGCAATTCAAGTTACTGTGGTTATCTTCTGTCGTATTGGCGTAACTTGAATAAATAAATAATTAAACAAGTTTTATCCGCAACTAACACCTGCAATTTTGACTCTCTCTCGTCTTTATATGTTCTTCCGCTGTAATTTGGAAAATAGCAATTGCTCTTCAGATATCTAAAAAAGCTCACCGAGCGTCGATGTGGTTCATTCTCTTTGTGTAAAACTTATTGATCCTTCGAAATTGGAATTTTCCATATCATTGGGCAAACGCGGCAAATCTTTCGCACCAACGTAATAATTGCCGCGAGCAGAAGAGAGTAATGCACAGCGCAGTAACGAATGATTTCGAGCGATGTTAGCTTCCATTTGACTTCGCAATTATTATAGTTCGCTGTACTACGAACTACGATCGTACTGCTTCATTCAGTACGACTGATAGTTTTACATTATCGGACAATAAAACATTTCATTATAACGCGACCAGAACGCTAAGCAAAGATATATAATGATAGTAGTGTCGTTCACATTAAAAACACAGTATTAGGATAGTATTTCCTCGTTTCTCAGGACGTATACTCGAAACATGGCTGCCTGAAAGTAACCCAACTGTCATGCTCCCATTGCGTAATCGGCGGTTCTTGAAAATTAAGCGTTCACATTTATTTATACTCGACCGTGTCGTCACTGGAACGCTGAGATGGATATTGATTCTTGATAGTATAGGATTCGCAAATAGACACTGGTCGTTATCTCTTGCGGACTGCAAATCGGGCTGCAAATTCACTCGAAGATACAATACTAGCCTCCACTGTACCTTCCATTATGTTCTCCTATCATAGTATGGTAGTTATTTCGCATCTCGTGCAGCTGTGAATAGATACTACGATCTAATAACGGACTTTCATCATCCAACTTCCGACGGGTATTTCCGTATGTTGGAAACCGTGACGTAATAAATGTGTATTTATCGACGTTAATCTCGTACTAATCTCGGACGTGAGCTTTCGTAAGCTTTCGATGAATTGCAAATTGCGTTCGATAAATTGAACGAGAAGAAAACCGCAGCCGCATGCTCTTTCCGATCGAAATGGAAATATTTCTTCGCGCGTTTGTTGCACGTCTAACGCGTTTCGTTTGCAGCATGGAAGAATTCGGACGAGGAGAAGTAAATCAGTGGACTTGCATTGCCCTGAAAAACTCGTACATTGTTCTAGACCTTGTCGTTTGGAAACTGAGACAATTTCCTAAAAAGTCACGATACCAAAATCTGAATACCAAGATGAAAGATAATTGCTCCAAAGTACTCGCGAGAGAAAAATTATTATATATGACTATATAATATTACGTTTGATTATGTCCAAACAAAAGAAGCTGTTAAACAAAAAACAGTTTCATTCCATTAAACGCCAACATAATAAGTTGCATAAGCATTGATTTCAAATATATTTGTACAATAGTATATTTTTACATTGTGAATACATTTGCGTATGATTATATGTGGCAATATAAAGACAAAATTCTTATACAATTATTTTTTCCCATTTTTTGATTGATAGAACGTAATTTTTCAACGATATTTAACATTACATAATTTTTCTTTTTTAGTATTTACAGTTTTTTAACGTTTTTTATATCGATATCGTTACAAGTAATTTGATGTTTTGATATATTTAAAATATTTTTATAACATTCGTCAAGAGATCATATTATATACATATATTTCTCTCGGGTATATATCTTTTAAATATTTTAAAAATATCAAATGAGAACACACATTCAAGAGATGCACATGAAATCAACATTTCAAGGTTTTGATCCGTTCTTCATCCATTGGAAGGAGATAGAAAGAAAGGCTATTGCCCCGAAAACAATACGCATAAATGTTTTAATATTTACTCATTTGAGTACATTCCTGTTGTGCTTAAGTGAGTAGATACTAGTGCATTCGTACGCACAACGAATCTAGTCCAATATTTCCGCAAAATTGTATTTCGAAAGATTGCTTTGGTATCCGGATTTCGCTATTATGATTTTTCTTGAAAAATTGCCCTACTTTCTTAATTTCAATGTTTTTCTCCGGGACAATGCATGTGTACCAATAAATCAACTCATTGCGAACGCGCATTCGTCGCAAAGTCAAGCTATCTCTCGCTGTCTCTTGCTATCTTTCGCAATTCAAGGGTTCTGCGCAGCTCAACGCGGTCATTACGTGCGTAATCGGCGAACTTTCGGTTGCATCGGTCTTCAAGTTTACGTTGTGCGATTCACAACGAGTAAAGATTCGGAAAAATACAAAGAAAAGAAAAGAAGCAAAAAACGATTTGACCGATACTTTAACGCGAATATCGTTCGCGTTGTAGCTAATTTAGCTACATAAGGCTATAATGCCGCGAGTACTACTCTATCTTGACCCTTTTAACGTAGAGATACTATACTCAAATAGGATTCAAGAGTCTATCTATCAAAATCTCTATTTCTTCTCTGTAGATAGTTGTCTTCGCCGAGGAGACACTCGGTGGTATCTATTATAGACGTTATAACTATACTGGACAGGGAAGAAAACGCTACAATGAGACTTGGTCCGTGAAAGTGACACGAAATCGCTTATCGATAGTAGTGAACCAAAAGCGAATGGGTAACATACGTTGTTTGTTCGCGAACTATGTCGGGAGCTGTATTTAGGGAGAATTATCTATTAGGTAGAAAAATCGGGAAAGAGAGAGAGAGAGATCGTGGTCGGGCTATATCGCATACTAGCTGACAGATGGTCCAATTATAGGCTACATATTCATAAGGGGAAAATAAAACGAGAACTTAAAAAAGAATAGCCTAAACTGTGTCACACGAGGCATGAGAAACGGCGTGCGACGAATTACAGTTTACATATTTAAAGTGTGTCGTTTTATGTGTGTGTGTGTGTGCGTGTATGCGTGCATGCGCGCGACAAAGCGCAAAGTCACATCTACGTAGCGTGTAAAATTACAAACAACTGATTATCCAGTTAGAAATGTCAATCCGCGGCTACTAACTTAAAGTGAACGTTCCAATCGATAATCAAGTAATCTCGTCGTGAAAACAAACAAATTAATAACATATACGTTGAACACCAAGTATACATAGTTGATGTTGTTGGCAAATGTAAACATACGAAGTTTTAATTGTATTGTATTTTTTCTAATTTACGGACAGATTTTAATGTATGTAGAATATTTTCTCAGAAACGATTGAAGTATCTTTCAATGACATGACAGTTTTGTTTATTCATTGGCAGTTTTAAATAAGGTAAAAAATAATCGCACTCTAATCTAACAAGCAGGTATCTGATATTAATTATCAGTTTCTAAAATGTCGGCGACTATTCGAATCGTCGCCGTCAGTTTGTAATTGTGATGTTTCAGCATTTACTATAGCTTTATATTTTATTCGAAACTTCTTATGATCGATAATGTATAAAATTTAAAGTAGGAGGACAAGTGCGGTATACATATAAATGTACTAATTGATTTATTAAGGAAAACGGGTACAATTGTCACAAATTTGGACGTTCACTTTAAAGCATATTGAGACTGGTTGGACTTTCGGTTAACGTTCTAACAGTCACACATTGTTCAGACATTTTCTGGATTGTTATGTTGTTTAGGCTGCAAGTAGACAGCTCCTTCAGATTGTTACATCGATGAAAGAAAAGTAATCTTGGACGAAATGGTTGATGAACGAATAAACGCGTAACGCGTACTCCTTGCGCGTAGCCTACAATGTCAGATCTTTACAATCCCATTAAACTCCGGGAATAACGGATTTTCATGATGTACCATAAAATAAAGCAGCTTTGGAGGTGCATTGTCCAAGGTCATTCCTTACACGTTGAACGCTTATTGCACCTCAGGGTGGTACGCACCTCACAGTGAAACGCTGCGCAAGTATATGCGTCACGCGGTTCCTCAAGCATCGTGCGTTGAACACGACAAAGTTGAACGTGGAGAAAATATTATATGATGTTAAAAATATGGAGGATTTTAAAAACACAGATTAAAAGACAACAAGTAAGAAAATCTTCATATATATTTTCAGTGTAAATCAAGTATGTGTATATATACTTGTGGTAAGACTACGTATCTCATAGTTCTAACGGCTCGCCGACGCCCAGGTGGAAGCAATCTTCTTTGGTAGCGATATCGGAGTTGTGCGTATACCTATATCACGATCAACGATGTGTACGACGTCTCGCGATGAAGGAAAAACTGCGTAGCCGGTTATTCTCAATGTGTTCTGTTAACAAAGACGGTGTGTTTCCACTCGTGGAAGAGCGCATTATGGAGTAATCGTTTGGATGTTAATTGTTAAATGTTAGGATAGCTGGATACGACGTTATGTCAACCTGTCAACCTGAACTACGTGTTTAAGGCATCCTCCCTTCATTACGTATAGCTTGTTGCATCTTATTTCGATTCATTGTCTCTCTTATCTTCGGCTGCTTCGGTTAGTAACACCGTGCCGTTGTTTCCTCGGGTTTCAATCCGTGTCTATTCGTCCGCGTGTGTGCCCGTCTCTTGCATACACTTCGGTTTCAACGTGACTTCTTCGCGCAAAGCTATCGAAAAGAAAAGAGAAAGGAAAAAAGTGAAGGAATAAGCGTGAAATGTTTAGCTTGCAGCAACGCAGTCACTGCCGTCGCTTCCCGCAACGAAAATCACTTCTCGCTTCGAACGATTCGGCATTGTCTCGTGGAAGGTGATTATTCATGACACGCGCGAGCTTTTCCTATTATTCAAGGCTCATTTAGAAAGATAAAAGGAGGAAAAGGATTCGATGTTCATTATTATTATCATTATTATTGTTATTAAACGGTTTGCGTATCACAAGGAATCTTAAGAATATTATGTTACGCGTCACCTTTGGCTATGTTGAAATCTAGTCATCACGATTATTATCGATTATTTATTGTACTATAGCTGAAAGTATGTAACTATTTTATAAATAAATAGATAACCAATGTATGTCGTTTGTTTCAATAGTACCAACATTAACATTTTAATCGTGATTTTTAAAGTACAACGAAATATTCACATCCAGAACATTAGAATTTCTCTTGATTAAAAAAACAATTTACTTCAGAGTTGATTGCCTCATCTTCATTAGAGAGTAATTAAAAATAATTAAGAACAGTATTTCTAAACGACGTAATTAAGTCAAAAAGAACACCTGAAAATGTCAACACAAAGTAAAGCATTATTTTATTTGGGTTACTAACACTGGTATAATATATCTGACACAGCTTAATGCTATCCTGAAGTTTCGCTTGACATAACTCCTCTGAATATTAACAAATTCTTTACAAATATATATATATATATATTAACAAACATATGTGAGAAATATAATTCTAATGACGCTTCAGGGTCACATAAGATGCTGTTATCATGTTTTGTATAAACTGGTTATATATAGAAATTGAAATTATTGAAGAACTTTTTGTGCAATACAGAAATTTATAGATAAAAGAGGACAAAAAACCAACTTTACAAGTTGGTATGTAAAAACATTGTTTAAAACTTTTGAACTCACACTATAAGATTTCTTTAATCGAGTCAATCTGTCTAATCTGAATTAAGGTCGTCTTTCATTTTATGTATTAACTCCCTAGCAATATAGTCCCAATATCGCCTTCGTATTTTGTCATATGTTTTTGACAATTCTTTACATAACTGAAATATAAATATGTATATTAGATATTACTTAAATTAAATAACATTATAAAATAAATAGGAACTGATATATCTACTTACATCATAAGTATTATTGACATGATATGGAGAAAATATATGTTCATCCATCATGTGACATTCTTGAGAAATGTCTATCATACAGGCCAACAGATGAATGCTACGACATCCACTTTCATACATTTGTTTACATTTAATTCGTACTTTCTCATTGTAACCTAAGCCATTGGGATCATGTAACAATATCCTAAAAATATAGTTTACAAACAATACACATCAAAACCAATGTTTTTCTTCCAATTAAATATTTAGTACAGATAAAATATAATTACCCTCTCAAGTAATTCCAGGCGCTCTCATTTCCATTTGCTAGTTCTATCTTCTCCAATGCAAAGTCAACCTCTCTGTCTATCACCTCTTGCTCAAACTTGGTCATATTACTTACCACAAAATAACGCTGATTCCAGGCAGAATTATTACGAACATCATTCTTTAACAATTGTTCTACATATTCCAATTCTTTGTCATATAAGCTATATGTATAATTACATAGTTTTTAATACATATGTCAATAATAAAAGAAAAGTTATCAAAATTCTTTAAACACAAGGTTATACTAACTTAAATGTTTGTATGCACCACTGGCGATGTTGCCAGGTATGATAATTCTTTGCATCTTTACATAAAATAGTTTCCGTAAATGCTAATTCTTCACTAGGATCTTGCAGCCACTCAACAATGACCTTTCTGTGGTGCCATACTTGATAATTTTTAGAATTGTTCTCTATCATTTTGCCTGTATACTTCAGCTCATCGTATAAGTCTTTTCCCAAAGCTTGAAGTATCTCTCTTCTATATTGCCATACAGTATAATTTGCAGGATTAAGCCATGTACAGTCTTCAGTTAAAGCCAACGCACGCTCCGACTTTTCACCTGACTTTAGAATGGCACGGATATAATCATAGGCGTCCTTGACTGAGAAATGATAAAATAACGAAATAAAGACACATAATGATAATAAAGTTGTGACTCATTAAAATTTAATCTATTTTAAATATGCAGTATAAAATATGTACAAGGATGGCTTCGAATATGTTGTGTAAAATATAATTTAACTTTTAACGATGTAATATTCAAGATAACTTACACTTTTCGGAATATGCAATTGCTACAATGGGATGAGGACCGTCATCCTGAGGTATGGGAGTCACGTCACTCCACTCATCACGGTCTCTGTAAAAAATCCAGGGTGTTTCCTCGATATCATTGACACAATTCAATTCATCTTCAGAATTATCCGACATGTTTTATTATAAAACGATATATTATCGTAGGAAAAACAAAAATGCACAAATTGTTCCTCTCGTTAATCTTAACCACTCCACTCCCTCGTCTTCTTCTTCTTCTTCTTCTTCTTCAATAGATGGCTCTGTACAATAGATGCTCCAACGCCACTCACTCGTACTCTCTCGTCTTAAAAACAACTACACCCAGGACGAGAAACTCATGTGTTAGTTTTCAAAGTGTATTTTAGTTCAATTCAATTCAATAGATGGCTCTGGGCAAGTTGGCTACTGCTCCAACGCCACTCTCGATGCATTTTAGTTCCATCCATAGACAAAGTATATCTAGACCATAGACATATAATAAATAGACCGTGCGTTCAGCGAAGGCGGCGGTCTATATTCGAAAGAGACAACATGCTTTCGTTGAGCAATCTATCGCTTTCTAACGATGCATGGTGGGGGTAAAGCAGTCTTCCGTGATAGGGGAAACAGAAGTAGGAGAATATAGAGAAAGGGGAATTGTAAAAGGCAAAGAGAAGAAAATACGTCTGATATAAATACACGCATATGAAAAAATAACGATTTTGTATGGAAAAATGATGAATATGGACATATGACGATGGATATAATTACATACCGGTGGAAAATAATCTGTTTGTCACTTTTATATGCATTACTGCGGCATACGTAACAATATAGATTCATTGTGTTACGATTATACTCTTTGTGTTATGATTATATTATTATGAGTAAATACGTTTTATAATCTTTGTAATTCTAATGTCAATCGTTTTATTTACATACGCTTTGTTTCACGAAAAGAAAGAGAACCGGAGACATAACATTCCACTCTAAACAGGCGGAGGGGCCAAATACCCCACCACGCATCGTTAGAAAGAGACAGACTGCTCTACGAAAACATGCTACCTCTTTCTAATATTGGACATGGGCAAACAAAGGAAACGTTGCGAATGCGCGGTCTATATATTATATGTCTATGATCTAGACTGCGCGTTCTCCCAAATTTCAAGAATGGGGATATAACTCTCGGAGAAAAGGAAGCACTCTGTTTTTAAGGCCATCACACACAAACGAACTTAAGCAGTAAGATGTAAGCAGTAAAAAAATCGACCAATCACAATCGAAATTTAAGGACGCCATTTTAAAATTTACGAGAATAATTGATTGTAATTGGTCAGTTTCTTTACTGTTTACGTCTTACTGTTACGTCTTACGTTCATTTGTGTGTGATAGCCTTTACCAGAGAGGAACCTGAGAGCGGCCAACACGGCGTTTTCGGCGACACCGATTTTTCGCACCGGGAATGGGCGCTATCTGCATCTATTTTGAGAGGGGAACTACGATGCTACATGCACTTTTAGGTCTCGACGGTAAAACCTGCATCTGGTGGCTGTCCGTGCTACATCCACTTTCAGGCGGTTTATGTCCGTGCTACAACCATAATAGCGTACTTGACAAGCACGGTCTCGCTCATTGTTATGCATTTGTAACATGAATTAACATGTTAACATATACAAAAAAAATAAGAATTGAGATTGTATATGATTAATATCATGAAGATTATATACGAATTATATCGATATATATATATATATATATGATAATAAGATAATATTTTGTGTGTACCCAAAATTATTTTTCCAAAATATTTCAGCGTTACGTTAGTATTTATTTATACTCCGGCAGGCGCTTTTTAGCGCAGTTGTGTCCGTGTACATGTGTTGCATTGAAAGTGTGCGTGACGTACGTGTGCATATACGCACTCACATACACACACACACACACACACGTGTCATATGCAACAGATACAATCTCATGATATATGCTTAAACATTTTCAATTGCCGTACGTTTCTATGTAAGAATGTAGTCGGCACACACACACACAGAGAAACTGCTCCCGTCTATCCGTCTGAAGTCCCGCCCACCGCTCGGCTTGTTTTGACGAGCCAAGCGAAAGAGAAAGAGAGAGGAAATGTGTCCTCTCCATCTCGCTCTGATTCGTAACGTTGCCGAGATTGTGCTTCCCGACATACGGCCGAGACTGACGTTTCACTCTCGGCGTGAATCCAACGAGATGATCAATAGCAATCGATTTCGACTAAACTCGTTGTGTCGATAGATTTGTATGACAAATTAACATTGCACTTAAAGATACGGCGTAGTATTGAAGCGTTTGCAAGAAAGTCGCGATTGAAAATCGCGAGTGCTTCAGGAACCAAATGAAGGAACGAGCTTCTCAAAGAGCGTGGCTTGGTGGAAGTACGCTGGACTCGCGGGGTTGAGGTCGATGGTTCGCATCTCCTTGGCGGTCGGCGTTGTCCTTTTTCGCCAATTATTTTTTTTTTCGTTTTTTAGGAAAATGCACGTGTTGCATACAACATACGTGTATCGCAATAAATTTTTTTTCATTTTTTAAGAAAATGCACGTATTGCATACAACACACGGGCATCGCAAGCATTGCACGTTTCGTCCATGACACTTCTTCTGAGACCCCGCCCATCGCTCGACTTGATTCGACGAGTCAAGCAAAAGAGAGACAGAGAATGTGTTCGCTCCATCATCTCTATGAAGATGGCCCTTCATTCTTCAAATTTGAAAAAATTTATCAGAGTTCTGAATGCCCCTCGCAGAGTTCTAGAGTTCGCAATCATTTATAGAAAGAGTTCCGTCATTTAAAGTAGAGAAAATACCATTTTAAAAATCGGAGGGCCAACTTCACGACGCCCCTCATGTAAAAAATGACAATTTTTTTAGAGTTCTAGATAGATATTTAAGTTCTATAGTACTAGTTAAATTTTTAAATAGTTCTGTTTAAAACAATAACAAAAATTGTATTTAAAATTCTCGAATTAGAAAACGAAAAATGGCAAGAACTCTACCAATTTAGGTTTTAGAGTTCCGAGTGTTAATAATAATCTTTAGAACTCGTGAGGGACTAACCAGAACTCTGAATAAAACATCGGATTTTCAAAAAAATTGATTGTTTATTAAATACGTAAAATTTTTTTTCGGAAATCCGATGTTTCATTCAGAGTTCTGGTAAGCCCCTCACGAGTTCTGAAGTTTATTATTAACACTCGGAACGCTAAAATTGAAAGAGTTGTCGATAAAATGCGAACGTAGCAGTTGTACAGCAACGTTTCTCGGCTCTGTGAGCTAAGATCAAAGTGTAACTCCGTTGATATCTCCGTTTCTACTGGGAGTAGAGAGTCGTCCATGTAGTCGAAAATGTAGGGTTTTGAGAGGACTTTAATTTGGTACCAGAACCAGGCCTGTATCTCTAACCGTTTAGGAGATATCGAAGGTTAAAGTTTTCCAACCTTTCTGCGTTGATATCTCCGCTTCTACTGGGAGTAGAGAGTCGCCACTTACGGCAAAATGTAGGGTTTTGAGAGGACTTTAATTTGGTGCCAGAACCAGGCCTGTATCTCTAACCGTTTAGGAGATATCGAAGTTTAAAGTTTTCCAGCCTTTCTCCGTCGATATCCAGCCTTCCTCCGTCGATATCTCCGCTTCTGCTGGGAGTAGAGAGTCGTCCATGTAGTCGAAAATGTAGGGTTTTGAAATGTAGGGTTTTGAAAGGACTTTAATTTGGTGCCAGAACCAGGCCTGTATCTCTAACCGTTTAGGAGATATCGAAGGTTAAAGTTTTCCAACATTTCTGCGTTGATATCTCCGCTTCAACTGGGAGTAGAGAGTCGCCACTTACGGCAAAATGTAGGGTTTTGAGAGGACTTTAATTTGGTGCCAGAACCAGGCCTGTATCTCTAACCGTTTAGGAGGTATCGAAGGTTAAAGTTTTCCAAGCTTTCTCCTTTGATATCTCCGCTTCTACTGGGAGTAGAGAGTCGTCACTTACGGCAAAATGTAGGGCTTTGAGAGGATTTTAATTTGGTGCCAGAACCAGGCCTGTATCTCTAACCGTTTAGGAGATATCGAAAGTTAAATTTTCCAAGCTTTCTCCTTTGATATCTCCGCTTCTACTGGGAGTAGAGAGTCGTCACTTACGGCAAAATGTAGGGTTTTGAGAGGACTTTAATTTGGTGCCAGAACCAGGCCTGTATCTCTAACCGTTTAGGAGATATCGAAGGTTAAAGTTTTCCAAGCTTTCTCCGTTGATATCTCCGCTTCTACTGGGAGGAGAGAGTCGTCACTTACGGCAAAATGTAGGGTTTTGAGAGGACTTTAATTTGGTGCCAGAACCAGGCCTGTATCTCTAACCGTTTAGGAGATATCGTAGGTTAAAGTTTTCCAGCCTTTCTCCATCGATATCCAGCCTTCCTCCGTCGATATCTCCGCTTCTACTAGGAGTAGAGAGTCGTCACTTACGGCAAAATGTAGGGTTTTGAGAGGATTTTAATTTGGTGCCAGAACCAAGCCTGTATCTCTAACCGTTTAGGAGATATCGAAGGTTAAAGTTTTCCAAGCTTTCTCCGTTGATATCTCCGCTTCTACTGGGAGTAGAGAGTCGTCACTAACGGCAAAATGTAGGGTTTTGAGAGGACTTTAATTTGGTGCCAGAACCAGGCCTGTATCTCTAACCGTTTAGGAGATATCGAATGTTAAACTTTTTCCAAGCTTTCTCCGTTGATATCTCCGCTTCTACTGGGAGTAGAGAGTCGTCACTTACGGCAAAATGTAGGGTTTTGAGAGGACTTTAATTTGGTGCCAGAACCAGGCCTGTATCTCTAACCGTTTAGGAGATATCGAAGGTTAAAGTTTTCCAAGCTTTCTCCGTTGATATCTCCGCTTCTACTGGGAGTAGTGAGTCGTCACTTACGGCAAAATGTAGGGTTTTAAGAGGACTTTAATTTGGTGCCAGAATCAGGCCTGTATCTCTAACCGTTTAGGAGATATCGAAGGTTAAAGTTTTCCAAGATTTCTCCTTTGATATCTCCGCTGGGAGTAGAGAGTCGTCACTTACGGCAAAATGTAGGGTTTTGAAAGGGCTTTAATTTGGTACCAGTCCGAAGCCTGTATCTCTAACCGTTTAGGAGATATCGAAGGTTAAAGTTTTCCAACCTTTCTCCGTCGATATCCAGCCTTCATCCGTCGATATCTCCGCTTCTATTGGGAGTAGAGGGTCGTCCATGTAGTCCAAAATGTAGGGTTTTGAAAGGGCTTTAATTTGGTACCTGTCCGAAGCCTGT